TACGAAAAGTGTTGCCCACCTGGCAGTGACTGGAACCGTCTGCAATTCGGTTCATTTTTAATTAAACTGATTTGTCGAAGCAAAAAATCATTGATAAACAAAACAAAGTATGCACATACAGACTACGAGAGAAAAAAAATAAGTATTGGCGCTATCATGAAAGTGTTTTTTTTTTTTAAGTTCCGCTAGCCGTACGCCTTTTATCACTTCAGCTTCAGCGTCTAGGTACTATTTAACAACACTACCAGCTGTATGAAAAAAACTATCGCTTTCATTTAGTTACCGACAATCGGGTGATTCACATACGCCGAGTCTGGGATTGCACACGGGAATCATGTGCATTTTCGGTTTGTTGTTTGTGCTAATCGCGTTCGACTATGGCGCGTCACAGAGCATGGAAGGTGGAGACAGTATTACAACATCAATTACCGGCCTGGAACAGCTACTCGAAACAGAAAATTTTCTCATACAAAATTTGGAAAATTACGCAAATGAGTTAGAGGAAAAGTTGCTTGTCATACGCAGGTGGAATATTGTTCATAAGTGTTAGAGAAGCATCGGCTAAGTGTAAAAGAAAGAAATACTTTTATTTTTGAAAGCTAAGAAGGAGCAAAGTTCCAGCAATATTTCGGAAATTTTATTTATTTTTATTCTGTCACTCAAGACTGCAGCCAAAAAGCTTTGAGTATTTGGAATATGACAATTTTAATAGCGCGACTGTTATAAGAAACGTGGAAATGAAAATGTTATCGACTCAAAGATAAAAATGTGCTGCGATAAATTTGAACGTAGTTGCATCCCAACTATAAAATATTTTGAGTTTTAGAGCGGTACTGTACAGTTTTCTTAATATTACTTGTCAGTCACAGTTTCTGTCGACAGAAATAGACGTAAGGCATTTATCTGGCTGGCACTAGTGCACATAGGTAGTCACCCAGTTACATTTGACGAAAACTAGTAAATGAACAAGTTAAATGGACGGTTTTGTAAGTATACAATTTTGAAAGTGCCCAGTGTCGCGGTGATCCACGTTCGCGCGCCGGCCTGCGTAACCGCGCGCTTGCGTCCCCCGCCCCTCTCCCCTCCTTTCACAATTATGCGCTGCTGGCATTATAACCGTTAAGAAAAGAGAATCTATATCGTCGTTTAAAGTACAAAACCGCGTATTAAGAGTTTCAAAAGTGAGGTGTCAAATTAAAGGGCTGGGGCTGTAGATGTGCAGTAAGGATTTATTTTTTGAAAAGAGTTGCCACATTTTAAAAACTTATCTTTATTCAAATTATTAAAAAAGTATAAATTATTCAAAATGGATATTTATCGAAATATTTATGAAAAGCTTTGTTCCTTAACTTAAGTATAGGAGGGTCGCCACCTGTTTAAAATATAAATTCAATTTGAATTAAGGGAAATAGGTAAGAGCATGATACAAATATTGAAAGGTAGTTTCACTTCTTCTTCTTAGCCGCCATTGCTCCCATTTGACGTAAACTGTGCTTTTGGCATTTTCTTTTGAAATCGCGCTACCATATTCTTTGAAAAAAGTAAAAAAGTGATTGATTACCTACTTCAAACAAAATATAATTATTTAAAAGAAATTAAAGCTTTTAGCGATAGTGAGTATAAAACGGAAGGTAATTGAAACATTACATTGTATTCACATAAAATATGCATTTACTGTTGTTATTTTTTTTTTATTGTTTTTTAGTAAGATGAGTTGCATATTTAGGAGCTGCAAAAATAACAGAAGAAATTGCGAAAAAACTAACATACAGTTTTTTCGACTCTCGGCGGTACCACATATGCGGGAAAAGTGGATATCCGCGTGCATTGTTCCGAGCACTTTGCCGCGAAAGATTTCAACCGGAGGAACGGATGCGCCCAATTAGAGCGAAACGCGATACCAGTAGGAGTAGAGTGAGTATGCTTCCCTAGAATCCGAAATAAAGCAACATCCTACTTAGTTTCTTAAAGGACCTACTGCATATAATATATCATGTAAAAGATAATGCTACATTTTTGGTGTGCCTTACATTTATAGCAATTTAAATCAATACGCAGCTCTTTTAATACGAACAATCATTTAAGTATATTTACCTCGTGTGTTCCAACTTACTTTTTAATAAAATAAAAATTCCTTACAAAAATATTAAAGTTTCCAAAATAATTATTTGATTAGGTGGCAGTGCTACTTCAACAATTTACGAAAAGTAGAAACGTCAGTAAGCACAGTTTATGTCAAAAAATTAAAAGTGAAACTACCTTCTTTTTTTGTATCATATTATACATATTGCTGGCAAACGTCAGACCGAAAATGTAAGGTGGCAAAAGCCAATTGATATATTAATGGCCTTTTTCATAAAAAATAAAGTAGCTTTAAAAAAGGTTTATAAACTGAAAAATGTATGAAAACGTCATTTTATAAGCTCTTTAAACCTACTTTATTTTTTATGAATAACGCCATTAGTGTTTAATGTGCTTGTGTGAATGTGTTTTGTACATAGATTTCTATTTTTATTTTTTTACATTTATTTTGTTGTTGCAAATCTTTGGACAAAAAATTTGTTTTTTTTGCGTTCCTTTACTTTTTCCTGTTATTATCTTTTATTTAGCGCATTTTCTTTACGCACTCGAATTTTGACACTTTTCAGATTTTAGTAAGAAAAGATCAGGAATGGACCTATTATCAGCTATCTTCTTTTCTTTTACTAGTTAAATGTTATTGTTTGAAAAAGCAAGATTTTGTTATTATTATTTTATGCAGCATTTTGGAAACTTATTTATTTATTTTTTATACCCGAGCCCACTTGTGCACAAGGGTATTATAACTTTGTTCACATAATGGTTATTCATAACAGCCAAAGCGAATCGAGATAAATATAGGCAAATGTGCACATGAATGATCAGAATGAAAAAAGAAATCGTTTAAGCGGTGACTGTCTGTCCGTCCGTCCAGACCATAACTCGATATCTTAACGAAATTTGGTATGTCTTTGCCCAAGGCAGGTTGGTTTTGAAAATGGGCAAAATCGGACAATAACTACGCCTACCTCCCATATAACGGTAGTTTTCAGATATACGCAATCTGCGATATTTTAGTAACTACTGAAGGTTATTCACTAAAAATTTACATTTACAATGATTTTTAAAATAAAATGAGGAATAACCACGCCCACATCCCAAATAACGCTAATTTATAGAAATACGAAATCTTCGATGAATCAGTAAATACTGACAGCGTTGCCACAGACAATTTTTTTTCCTACCAAAATTTTCTACCATAACCAACCAAAACCTACCAAATTTTTGTTTGAGTTTTAGTATTTTCTTTCGTTATCAAATTTATTAAAAACATATCATAATATTTAGTAAAACTAAAACACGGCTAGTAAAATATAAAAAAAAGTAAGTGCGCCTGGGCCACACTGTAGAAGTGAAACTTACGTTACTTATCTATCTATACATACACACATCTGCTTTTGCTTTAGGTTATATTTTTTCGCTTTTTTTCTATCAATGTAGATCCCTACCTCTACCACTGTTCGTTTTAATAACATTCATGTTATTCTGTTTTTCCATTATCTTCATTTTTATCTTTATACTCTATCGATAACCAAATCGATTATAACGTTCATCAAAATATCGATAACAAAATCGATGACAAATTCGATAAAACTTTCAATAGCAACATCGATAATACCATTGGTAGCTAAATCGATTAGAAAATCGATAAAAATATCGATAACAAAATCGATAAATATCGATAACAAAATCGATAAATATCGATAACAAAATCAATTAATATCGATAACAAAATCGATAAATATCGATAACAAAATCGATAAATACGATAACAAAACCGATAAATATCGATAACAAAATTGATAAATATCGCTAACAAAGTCGATAAATATCGATAACAAAATCGATAAATATCGATAACAAAATCGATAAATATCGATAACAAAACCGATAAAAATATCGATTATTTTATCGATAAGTCTCGAGAATCCCGAAAATCTCTAAAATCCCAAAATAGTTCCCAGATTGAGTCTCTGTGTCTCTCTCTATATCCTTTCCTCTTTAATTACCTCTATTTTAATCTTTCTTCCCCTATCTTCATCTTTACTTATATCGGTATCCTCATCCTCCTCTTTGTCTTTACTTTTATGTTCATAATTTTTTCATCTATATATTCCCCTTCACATTTGCCTTATATATATAAGTAAAGTGTTTAAATTTACCTTGGTCTTCATTTTTGCCATTATCTTTACGCATCTTTGTTTTTATTTTACCTTTGCCTTTACCTTTTACCTTTACCTTTACCTCTTTTTGATTTATGTACGTAGTCAAATTTCATTTCATTCTTGTATTGGTCTTTTTCTAAGTGTTATTCTTTAACCTTTTATTAGCAAATATGCATACACACAAGAAGCACTTGTTTCAGCCCCAACCATTTCCGTTGCATCGTTCCCGTTGCACCATTTCCGTTGCATCATTTCCGTTGCACCATTTCCGTGTGCGATTTCCGCTGAATTTGCCAATTTACTTCCAACCAACCAACCACCGCTAAAGAAGTTTCACTTCAACAAATTAACTACGTGTAACGATTCATTATACTGAACAGACTTATCGTCACTAGATACGAATAAACACGCGAGCTCAAAAGATGACAGCGAAAAAAGACGCGTGAAAAAAATTTCGCCGAAGAAAGACTCTTAACATAGGTGATGGCAAGAAAGCCGCATTAACCTCTTTGAAGGCGAAAAAAGACGTATAAACTTATGTTCGTGGTCAACTATATATGCGAGTGTAACACTATACGAAACGAAGAGTTTTTCCGGAATGATGTTGAATCCATGTTTACGCGCCTTTTCGCAAATTTTTTCACGCGTCCTTTTTCGTCGTCAAAACATCCAAGCGTCTTAATTCGTGTCTAGTGCTCAGCACTTTAAATGATGCCATGTTCCAAATTTTAGATGGAGAAGAAAATCGTTCTCTAAGGTGTATCAATCTACGATTCATGCTTCGTGGACAGGCACATAGAATATACCCTGGGCTTTCCTTCACCAGCCCACAAAATCTACAGCCCGTCTCTACAGAAAGACCCATTTAATTCAAACGGTACGTTAACTTGCAGTGTACTGTCAGGTTGCCAGTAAGAGTTCTAAGTTCAAGGTGTCTTTCGGAGTTCCTCCTGGAAAGAGTTATTAATCTCTTTGATTGTCGACTTTCGCCAGTGAGCAGCAATTTGAATACCTCCGCCTGGAATATGGTTGGGTACGAGCCCATTGGCAGACTTTTCTGGAATCTTGGTCCAAGTACGTCATAAATTATCTCGCAACCTAAAGGTGTAAAGGTGCCTAGCCCATTTTTTTCACAGCTTAGTTTTTGATGCAGAATGGCAGGTAATACATCGATTTTTCGCCTCTCCTGAATAATTTCAAAAAATGGACTTGGCACCTTTTCACCTTTAGGTGACGATAGGATGCTCGTATTGCATATTGGCAATAATAAGGGTTTACGTTTGTACTTAGGAATCAGGTATATTTACATGTTTTTGGCCGCCGTTATACGAACACCGCAGTGAAATATTCGTGTAAAAAAGGTTGCTGAAATATTTGGAGATATATATTTTTTATTTTGCTATACTATTACTCATTGTCCCGAAACCTACCAAAATCCAATCAAGCCTACCAACCTACCAAATGGGAAAAAAACCTACCAGTTTTGGTAGGAAAAGCCCATGTGTGGCAACACTGAATACTGAAGTTAATTTATTCAAAGTTCATGTTTCTAATAGTTCTTTAGAAAAAAATACGTTTATGATAAAACTTTGGAAAATGGGCGTGGCACTGCCCACTTATGACCACATATGTCTATCTCGGTAAACGTTCGATCAATTTGTACCAAACTCGGTACGATTATTGTGCTTGCCACATAAAACAAAACATTGAAAATTATTGAAATCGGACTAAAATTACGCCCACTATTCATAAAATGGTAAATTTCAGAAATGCTTGAAACTTCAAATTTTCGAATTTTAAAAACGCTAATTTACTCAAAATTGATACTAACAACAATCCCTTGAAAAGAAGTAACATTATTAAGGATTTTTGGAAAATAGGCGTGGCACCGCCCACATTTAACTATATAAGTTAATCGAAGATGTTTAACATAGGGATAAAACCACCCCCTGCTTATCTTGTAGCGGTACTTTTTGGAAATGTGAAAAAACTATACTTAATACTTGCGCCGTGTATCTAATGTTCTGCTCCGCCCGAACTTAGACTTTTTTTTTTTTGTAATTAGTTAGCAGATTTTTCCATTTGTCTATGGTGAGCTGAAAGAGAGTTGCCAGAATCGCACTGTTAGTTGATCGGTTTGACATGAAATAATATTTAATTCAATCAATCTGTAAGATTTACGTACTTTATTTTATCTTGACTGGCACTGTAAAATAATTTTGTTAAATTGTTGTGCTGGGAAAAAACATCGAATAAATACAAATACAAAATACATATTACGGTTCTTCTTAATTAAATTACAGTGCATTAAACTTCAATCTAAAAGTAAAAAAAAATAAGATAGTTTATATTTATTTTATTGACGTATATTTTATTTTGCAATCCATCTATAGCGTGATTACTAGTCTTCGTGAGGAAAATGTCAAGGCACGCGAAAATAGCCAATACTATATATCGATTCCAACGAATGTATTTTCCTTAGTGCGGCGATTGCAGAAGGATTGGATATACTTGGATATTTATATGAGGCAAAGTGTTGGTGATGGTAAATGTGATATTTAAATATTTTATCTTAAGTCAAGCTCAATAGTACTAAATATGGTCGATATAATTTAACTTAGCGCAAATACAGATATTACGTGAGCAATGGTCTCATTTGCCCAAAGAAAGTGATCTGGTTGAAGCGGTACAAGCAATGAGCCGATTGCAGGATACCTATGACCTTAAGGCCGCAGATCTAGCTAATGGAGTGATCAATGGCAGAACATACGAGTACATTTGAAATATATGAAGCAAATGTATTATATTTTCTTAAAAACGATTTTTGCATTAAAATCCTTTTCACAGCACAAAATTATCATCGCTCGATTGCTATACTTTGGGCTATGAGTTGTTCAATCAAAAAGAATATATAAGCGCGGGCTATTGGCTATACACAGCCCTACAACTGTACGGAGAAGATGAAATTACAAAACTGCATAATCTAAGTCAATATAAGATAATGGAACTCTATGCTGAAACCTTACTAAGGCAGTGTAAGTGCCGTTTTAACATTTAGGACACTTTGTTGCAGTGTAAAATGCTAATTTTAAATCACAGAAATATTGCTTATAACTACTCACTTTTTTGTTTTAGTTCGGCATCAAGACGCGCTATCAGTGATAAATGCAATGTTTGTTTTACCAACGTTGCAGCCTCCAGAATCGGATCTAGTTCACAAAAGAATCGAGCTAGAGAAGCATATACAAATCTATAATCCACAACCAGTGATAGTGAGTTCGTAGTAAATAAATTACTAATTTAACCTTAGGCAAATTTGCCAAATATCTTCTCTTTAGCACCCGAAAACAGAGCCCAACGCCTATCAACGTGGTTGTCGCGGTGAGTACGCAAGTCGAAGACCTATGCTTTACTGCCTCTACAACACTACGACAACCGCATATCTTAAATTGGCGCCTATTAAGATGGAAATTGTGAGTGTCGATCCATATATGGTCATGTTTCATGATGTCATTAGCGATGAGGAAATCGCCACGCTTCAAGATATGGCACGACCCGTGCTGAAACGCGCTACAGTGTATAGTGAAGAATCTAAACGCAGTAAAGTGGTTGCTACCCGTACCTCGAAGTTTGCATGGTTTGCCGATAACAGAAATGAAGTTACTACGCGTATCAATAAACGTATTGCCGATATGACCGGGTTCGATCTGTTCGGCTCAGAATTGCTACAAGTGATGAATTATGGACTCGGTGGTCATTATAGTACTCATTACGATTTCTTCAATGTATCTATGGTAAATATCTTTGTTAGGCTTAGTATTCATCAGTATCATACTATGTTAAATTAGCTAGCTAAATGAAATGAATAGCCGCTTGAACCTAGTAACCATTAGGCTCTTATGTATTATTGCAAGATATTTTAATATATTTTTATTTGCTTCCAGACAACGGATATAGTGGCGAAGCAAGGTGATCGTAAGGCTACTGTTCTCTTTTATGTAAGCAAGCATGTTTTTTTAATGTTTACTCCAAACCTCGAATAATGCAATTTCAAACATACACTTTCATAGATGACTGATGTGGAACAAGGTGGTGCGACTGTATTTCCAAATATAGAAACTGCTATTTTTCCTAAGAAAGGTACTGCTGTAATGTGGTATAATCTCAATAACCAATACGTGGGTGACTATAAAACTCTGCATGCGGGCTGTCCAGTATTAGTTGGTTCTAAGTGGGGTAATTTTTTCTATTCTCAATAATTACTGTTCGAATATTTGTTTGCTTAAATATTTATATTTACAGTTACAAACAAGTGGATCCGTGAAAGAAATCAAGTGTTCCGGCTACCATGTTATAAGGAATAGTCATAAGGAATAAATCATACATATGCATATGCATAAGTTGTATT